GTATTGGTCTCTTTCATGGTTTTGTTTTTTTTTTTTGGCTTAGAATGCAAATTTATGTACACAGATTTTCATTCTTTCTAGGAAAGATTTCATTTCTATAGTCTGATATTCTTTCCTTATAGAGTCTTTCCATCAGAAAAGCAGGCCGGGCTTGGTGGCTCACATCTGTAATCCTAGCACTCTGGGAGGCCAAGGCAGGAGGATGGCTCAAGGTCAGAAGTTTGAGACCAGCCTGAGCAAGAGTGAGACCCTGTCTCTACTAAAAATAGAAAGAAATTAATTGCACAACTAAAAATATATAGAAAAAAAATTAGCTGGGCATGGTGGCTCATTCCTGTAGTCCCAGCTACTTGGGAGGCTGAGGCAGGAGGACTGCTTGAGCCCAGGAGTTTGAGGTTGCTGTGAGCTAGGCTGACGCCACTCTAGCCTGGGCAACAGAGTGAGACTCTGTCTCAAAAAAAAAAAAAGCAAATGCCAGTAATGTTAGCTACTGTTCTGTCTTCCAAATCTATTCTTCTTCTCCAATTATTCATTTACTTCTTTTAAAGAAAACAGGAATAAAATCTCAAGTTTGTCCTTCACATAATTGACTTGAGTTTTTGAAGCTTCAATATTGTTCTTTTCTGCTTTCAATGTGGATTTCAACCTGCTATTGTGTTTCTGGCTTCCTTGAAATCCTTCTTTCTATTCTTTTCCTCTTTGTTCTATTGCCTTTTTCTCTTAGCCCATTGCCATCTTAAGATAGCTCACTCACTATTGCTGTACAGAAGCAATTCTTCTGTTCTTTCAATTATGACAAGGAGAATCCTACCATTTTCTTGTTTCCTGCATTGTATCACTTTTATTTTCAAGAGTATTCTGGAAGCTGTTCATTTTTTTATATGCCTTATCTCACTTTTTTCTCTGTACTCATCCTTAAATGTGGTCCTTCCTTCCCAGACCCTGTCCACTTGAGTGTTTTGTTGAATCCCCTTTTTTGTCAAATCTCAGGTCCATGGTTAAGGTGAAGTGCATATCTCTAAGTACAATTTCTAGTTTACCACTTTTCTGTGGAAGTAGCTTCCTTTTCCTCTCTATTGCCTGGTTTTCTGGATCTCTGAAACCAACATCATACATGAAAAATCATGATATTTGCATGTTCTGCTACTCGATCATTTATTGTCTGTTTTTGCCTTCACCTAAAGGGCTTTATTCTCAGAACAAACAATTCGTCTAACAGTCTCCCTCTACTTTCTGCTCACCTTTTAGCCCTAGGGTTTAGTCTTGGACTGAATGGAGGTGGGGTTGGAGAGAAGAGAGTGGGATATAGAATCTTTTCACTGTGTAGCATCTGGCTAAGAGCATCAGCCAGAATTTCTCTGGCTCAGGAGCTCTGGCCCAGAGTAGGGAGACAGATATGATTGGGGAAGAGGACAAGTACTAAATAACTTCCAAAGTTTTAATTTCACAGGGCTTCTGTTTCATGAAGTGAAGCCAGGCTTTAAGTTATATCAATTCTGGCCGGGCATAGTGGCTCACGTCTGTAATTCTAGCACTCTGGGAGGCTGAGGCAGGAGGATTGCTCAAGGTCAGGAGTTCAAGACCAGCCTGAGCAAGAGTTAGACCCAGTTTCTACTAATAGAAAATGGAAAAAATTAGTTGGACAACTAAAACTATATAGAAAAAATTAGCCGGGCATGGTGGCGCATGCCTGTAGTTCCAGTTACTCTGGAGGCTGAGGCAGAAGGATTACTTGAGCCCAGGAGTTTGAGGTTGCTGTGAGCGAGGCTGATGCCATGGCACTCTAGCCTGGGCACTAGAGTGAGACTCTGTCTCAAAAAAAAAAAAAAAAAAAAAGAAAAAAATTATATCAATTTGTTCTAGATTCTAGAATTGAGATCTGGGCTTCTTTTGGGTCTTTATGAGTGTTTTTCTGGGAAGATAGGAGAAGCTCACTGGGGGCTTCTGCTACCAGATGACATTCTATAATTACTTTTTAAAAATCCAAATCTTCCCAGCTATGAGATGAAGGAAAGAGCTGTGGACTAATTTTCTAGTCCTGAATTCTACTACGTATTGTTTGGCTGACCTTGGATGGGCCCTTTATTATCCCTGGTCTTTAATTTCCTTATTGGTAAAATGAGGGAATATGACTAGATGATCTCAGAGTTACCTATAATCTATTGCTTTTTAAGTCTCAAAAAAGGAAAACAAACATGCCCTGATAGAGGAAAGAACAGGAAACAAATGACTAAGTATATTTTGCTATGAGAGTGCCTTAGCCCTGCAGTCCCCAACCTTTTTGGCACCAGGGACCGGTGTCATGGAAGACAATTTTTCCACGGGAAGGTGGGGGAGGTGGAACTCAGGTGGTGATGCGAGTGATGGGGAGCAGCTGTAAACACAGATGAAGTTTTGTTTGTCCGCCACTCACCTCCTGCTCTGCAGCCCAGTTCCTAAGCTTTACGGAAGACAATTTTTCCACAGACCATTGGAAGTGGGGTGCAGGGGTGGGGTGATGGGGTGGAGCTCAGGTGGTGATGCTTGGCCCCCGTTCCTAACAGGCCACAGACTAGTACCAGGCCAAGGCCCAGGGGTTGGGGACCACAGCTTTAGCTTAAAGATTGTAAAAATCCTCTGACAACAAAATTAAAAAGCAAAACTAAAAAACCTGATTATGTAATTGTGGCATAAGTTAGGAATGCCTTTACATTTTAAGCAGTGATTCCAATGTCAAAACAGGTGTACTTTATAAACCAATTGATTTCTATAAGAATATACTGGCATGACTATCTGCCCTTTAAGGTAGATAACAGGTAATATAAATTACTCATTGGACAGAGGGTTCTCAGCAGAAAGAAAATATTATATTCACTCATAGAAAACCATCATGCTTTTCAAGAACTATTAAATTATACTGGACGATCAATCAATTAGTAAGAGGTACATATAAGGTATGACACAGTATGGCTCAAGAAATAGAATATTTCCCAAGCAAATATAAACTGTGTTTAATTTTTAAAAAGTTAAATGGTTTAGGTGGGCAGGGTGGTTCACACCCACAATCTTAGAATTCTGGGAGGCCAAAGCAGAAAGATCCACTTGAGGCCATGAGTTCAGACCAGCCTGAGCAAGAGCAAGAGCAAGATCCCATCTCTCCAAAAATGGAAAAATTAGCTGGGCATGATGGCGTGTGGCCGTAGTCACACTACGCAGGAGGCTGGGGCAGGAGGATAGCTTGAGCCCAGGAGTTTGAGATTCCAGTGAGCTGTGATGAGGCCACTGTACACCAGCCTGGGCCACAGAGATTCTGTCTCCAAAAAAAAAAAAAAAGTTAAAGGGACTTCTGAGGCAGTTTTGCCTAATGGACTGAGTACTGGATTTTGAGTCAGAAGACCTGTGTTCAAACTTAGTACTCCAATTCACTATCTCTGTGAGACAATGAAAAATTTAATTAACTTCTCAGCGCCTGGTTTCTCAATATGTAAAATGGGAATAATTAGACCCTTGTGGAGCTGTTGTAAAAATTAAATGAGAATGTGAGGCAGCTTTGAGAAAGCACTTAATACTGTGTCAGTCAAATCGGAACCTTCTAGAAACTTTTACTAGAACAAATCAGTAGATGTAACAATAACCACAGTTAAATGCGAATTAATCCAATCAATGGACCATAATGTATTTAGGAGCCAATTCCCATTCCCATTCCTATCTCAACGGGGGATGGAAGATCTATCTAATCACTATTAATAGTATGGAACTAATATGTATCTCCATATTATGCAATGATTTTTGGGGGGATCTTAATAAGTATTTCCTGAAATAATGAATTTCTGTATGAGCTGCATTAGATAAATAATTAAGCACTTTAATTTAGTGTAACAATCTGATTCTGATCAACTAAACAGGGAAATCTCTGGATTTCTTGGACTGTAATGAACTAAAAGTACTCAAAATCATAAAAATAATGGGCAAACTTTGTCTGAAGGATGGGCGGCTTCCCTCAAAGGAGTTTTGGGAAATCCTGTGATATAAGAATACACACGTCAGAAGTAGGAATTTCCAGAGATGTTAGTTTAATTATCATCCCCCACAGCCTCCTCTTCTCTGGGAAAGGGAGCGCAGCTGTAGGTCACAGCCAATCCCTCCCCATTCTGTTTCCTCCCCACTCCTGTTTTAATTAAGGTGATTCATTTATATGGGAAAGTGCAACAAAGATCTCTACTTAAGAACATGGCTAAACAATGGAATGCTTTTCCTTTAACACAGGTCATTAAAAATTCACCCCAAAGGCAAAAGCATTGAAAGGTGTATACAAATTTGAAACTTTGAATGAATTCTTTTGTTCAGAGCGGTTAACAGTTGCTGTATGTATGGGTCTTAGACTTCAATTAGATCATGCAGAGAAAATGAGGTAACTCTTCTTGGAGGTCTTCATTGTTTGCATTCATTGATGCTTAAAGGTAACTGACCAGTTACTACCGGTAGCTCAACATTTTTTAGCAATTCACATCTCATAAAAGCAACAAAGTGATGCATGTTTGATAAGGATAATATTTAGAAATTCTTTTTACTTTAAGTAGCAACAGTGTGGCTTAGCATTAACCTAAGCTGAGAAAAATAATCAACATTCTGTTGTCTAGAGACAGCAAAATAATTTCAGAAGTTGTGGAACTTGAAAATTCAAGAATGGCATCTTGGGCCAGGCGGGGTGGCTCACGCCTGTAATCCTAGCTCTCTGGGAGGCCGAGGCAGGCGGATTGCTCAAGGTCAGGAGTTCAAAACCAGCCTGAGCAAGAGCGAGACCCCGTCTCTACTATAAATAGAAAGGAATTAATTGGCCAACTGATATATATATAAAAAAATTAGCCGGGCATGGTGGCGCATGCCTGTAGTCCCAGCTACTCGGGAGGCTGAGGCAGGAGGATCGCTCGAGCCCAGGAGTTTGAGGTTGCGGTGAGCTAGGCTAACGCCACGGCACTCACTCTAGCCTGGACAACAAAGCGAGACTCTGTCTCAAAAAAAAAAAAAAAAAAGAATGGCATCTTGTCTTGGGAAAACTGAAATCAATATGAATTTTCTCTGTTAAAAAAAAAAAGAAAGAAAAATCTTATTCCTGTAGAAGTCATCCCCATGTTGTGAGAAGCACTACATTAGGAGATTAACTATCTGATTTTCAGGAATTAGGAATTTTGCATCCTAGCTTTGCCACCTCCTAATTATATGACCTTGAAAAACTGCAGAAGCGTGACATTGTTCACCTTGGAGATGATCCATTCCATTGATCCCACTGTATGGCTGAGGAAAGTGACACCAGCATTAGCCCAAGTGAGGAGTGAAGTAGCTCCTAGTCTAGGAATCTTTCCATTACAGCAAGAGGCTTCAGTTTTTACATGAGTTATTATTTTGTCCAGATTCTCCTAATGACTGTGAACATGTAGGAGAGTGAATGCTATATAGTGCTTGATGCTTTTAATAAGGTTGAATTAAAATAAAAATCAAAGTAACAGAATTTCACATTTCTTCAAATACTATTTATCAGTCAGGGCAGACTAATGCAGCAAAAAAATCCAAGGAAAATTGGAAAAATGCCACATGACCAAGGAAACTATTTTTTTTTCCACAGCTTTGGTTAGGTACTTCCATAATATTCCTTTTTGCAAACACACTAAACAATGGAAAAACTTTCTCATAAAGCTTCTCAAGCCTTTTCTGTTCTTCCTTAACTTGTTTTTGCTTATATCTGAGGTATCAGGGCTTGTGTTGGAGGTAGAATTCACGGGTGAAAATATGTTAACTTGACCAGATGATTAGGTTTGGTTTCCTCTTCAAGTTTAACATTTTAAGGGAGAGAAAAATCTCCATAATGGAAGAAATAAGTGACATAATGCAGATTAATTATTATCAAAAGTTATAACTAAGATAGGTAACATTTCTCACATGCTTATGATGTGCCTCGTACTGTGCTAAACCTTTTATATTTAATTCAATTTGACACCTATCATCTCTGCCAGAGTAAACTTCCAACAGGAGACCTGCTAGACTCCGGGGAGTCAGTATCAAGAAAGCAGGGCTCACGTTAGAGCAGAAGGTGCTGCAGGCAACTGGTGCCTAGGTGAACGTGAGAATTCTTGAAATTCATTCTCGCTTTAGAGCATAAAAAACCCAAAGGCAAGTGGAGAAAATGCTCTTAATCGCCCCTCTCCCTTCTCTTGGGATTCTGCTTGCTCCAGCTTAGGCCAAGAGCAGAAGAAGATCATGGAGCCCCCAGCAGGTAAGGTTTAGAGCAGACTGGAAGCCAGCGAGAACACCAGCGAGAACTGCCTACTCTGGCCCCCCTTAGGATCCTCGAGGGACGGCCTTGGCCATGCACATGGACAGGCGCTTTGCCATTTTAGCAATTCACCAGGCTTTAACACGTATAAATTTAAAGTGTGTGAATGTGCACACACACATATATACAAATACATACTAGAGAAACTACCTAGTACAATGTGTGGCACATGGCAACATTTGATGGAAGTGTTTTCCTTCTTGTTCCCATTCCCAAGGAGGCATGTAATGAATGGCATTTAGGATGCTGAGATACAATTCTTTCATCCCATCAGGTATCACTGAAGATGTCCTCTCCTGATTTTTTATTATAATCATTCACTTCAGAACTCTGGTGATTTATAGTACATCAAATAGGTGATAGGCAACAAATCTGAAGCGGAGATGGCTATTCAGCTTATGAAAAGCCACTATCAATAGAACAAACTCTGGATCAGTTATTGCTAGAATTGGAAATGTTAAAATCTGAAAAGATTACTAATGGCAATTTATTCTTGAATCTAAAATAAAAGTGGAGGTTTATTTAATTAGGCTGCAGGTTCTGCCCAATAGTTCACATAGGTTATATTTCAGTTTTAGTGCAGAACTGACAAGAAAATGACCATCTGCTTTCAACAAACAAAAATATCCTTTGGGTGTTCAGCAAACTAAAGGAAACTGTATCTAATGTTTTGTCTATTTCTTTTTCATCAAAACCCTAAAATCACTACAGGAAACCACAACAGAACAGTATACAATATCAAGTCATAACAATGATTATTAAATATTACCTGTTATTTATATACAGATGAAGATATATCAAAATTAATCTCTACTCAGGAAAGGTCAACTAGTAAATAAAATTATCAATGCACAGTAACTCAAAAGGGAACAACATTACACGTTAAGGCAGCATTGGTTGAGTCTTCTCTGGTAAAGGAAGTATTACATATTTCAATGACTAGTGAATGTTCTTAAAAACAATTAAATACTAAAATAATGTTTTGAAAAAGAAATAGGACTGATTTTAAGACTCCTGCAAAATGAATTTGCATTGGAATTTTAATTTGGGATTAGAAAGCATACACAGGAACATAATGGTATAAAGTTGTAGTAGTTTTTCCTCAAATACAAAATAAAGATCCCTAGGAATTATTATTATCGTTAATTAGTACTCTTTGGGCTGCTTATTCATTTACTGTTGCATTCATAGTAGTTATTAGAAAATTCTGCTGATGTTTAAATAATGTGATCAGGTTGAATTTTACCTGAGTGAAATGGTTTCAAATTGCATTAATAATCTATATTATGTTCTGACTTTACAACTATATCCTTAATGCTGGGTTTGCTTACCTGGTAGGTTGTCTAAATCATCATGTCCCAAGCATTGGTGCCAACCTAAAATGATAATATCTATTGTGGCTGAAAAAAGTCATGCTTTGACAAGAATATTTCAAAGCTCTTTAATAAACGTTATTTTGGGATTTGTTTTCATTGCAGCTTGTTTTGTTGGATTTTCTTGGTTAAGCCTGACAATTACCTTTAGTTGTTTTAATAGATCCAGTGCTATATGCTGACAGAACTATCACATGAAGAACAGATTAAAAACACTAAAAAAAATATGTTCAAATGAAAAGAGCTCTCATGTGGTGCTGAGAAATAAAACATAGGCACTTCTGCTTCAGGAGGTTTTCACATTTTGATCACAGATGGCTTTTCCAAGCCACTTTCTTTCACTACTGGAAATTCTCCCACATTACAAACCACCTAGTCGCTGGAAAGCTTGTTCTCACAAACACCCTTCTGGTGCATTAATTTTTTTTTCATGAAATTGTCTCTATTGACAGTCGAGATGGAGTTCCTTCCACTGCAGAGAGCTGTAGGAGCAACCCTGTCAGGTGACTGAGTGTAGCTCTGGGCTCTTCCTCCAGCGACGCTGCTTGCTCCAAGTTATCCACCAGCAAAATATAAAGCAATGTCAAGTGCAATTTTTCTCCTGGAGATAGTTAACACGTCTGCCTCTCTCTAGTTCTTAATTGTGAGTGAGATTCAACAAAGTGTATAGTCTTTATAACATTCTAAAGCTACTGGGCTACTGGGATTTTTTTTTTTTTAGTGACTACTTAAACAGTTTCCTTTTTTTTTTCTTTTCTTTCTTTCTTTTTTGAGAAAACCTGTGCTAAAAAGGCACTAGATAAAATGAATTTCCTCACTCTTGTATGTAGCAATTATACATTGTGTTAGATTCTAAAAGTTAACAAAGGTGACACACATTTGGATAAAACATCTGAATTATTCAGACTCATCTACTTTCATTTAAAAAACAAACCCCAAGTCAAAGGACTAGTGGGCCACACTGATGGAGACCACCCTGACAGTGAAGTCCTGCTTGCCCAGCCCCTGCCTCTCAGAGCTCTGGGGGCCGCTGACTCTGGCCCTGGTGGCCTGGGGGAGCTCCGGCCTAAGAGGATGAGCAGGGCAGGGGGCCGCGCCCAGGTGGGCTCACTGGCAGCAGCTGTGGGAGCCAAGCCTCCTGGAGACCTGAGTAAACGAGACGAAGGTAAAGTTCTCACAGTTTTCCAGCTTGACCTTCTTGGCTAAGTTTGGGACAATTCCCCGAAGAGACCGCAGTCCCATCCTCTGCTCCTCATACCACACGCTGCCCATGTCTGCAGCCTCCTTCCTGGCAGTAAGGTAGAAGGGGGACTTGGCCTCCATTTGGGTGGGTGGCCGATGGATGTACATGTACTTGTAGAGGAGGCAGTAAGGGCACTGTTTGTGTCCCCTGGAATGCTCATGGTAGATTTTCCCATGACACACTCGAGTGGAACCACTCCGACTCTCCCGCTTGACGCTGTCTGTCCGGGCAAAGTAGGGCTGGTTTTGTGGGTCTTTGAGCAGCTCGATGTCACCATACATCAGATCTGCATGCTCCTGCAGCGTCCGCATGTTCAGGTACTGGCTGTTGTACTTGACCACGGTGGACAAGAGGGTGATAGGGCTGTCATCCCCCAGACACCCTGCCTGCCACATCTCCTCCTCATCAGAAAGGGAGAAGTAGACGATGTTGCGCGAACGGGCACCCGACATGCCTGCCTTACTCAGCACCCACAGCTTTTCCTTGAGTTTCTTGGTGGAAGAGCTGAAGGTGCTGCTGGTGATGGAAAAGCCCACACCTGCATTCTTCAGGATGCGGTCCAGGCCTCGGCGAATGGCATGCAGTGAGGTGGCCAGGAAGTCTGAGCCGTCACTCTTCTTAACGGTGACGTAAAAGTTCTCGAGCAGCTCGTTCAACTTCACTGCAGGGATCTCAAATGAGACAAACACTGAAGTTACACACTTGAGGACACCCACCTGGCTAGACCCCTCCTTTCTTCTATCCTCACCTGGGGCTGTATTGTGGGCATGTTGTGGCCTCTAAAGGGCTGACCCCTTAGCATGACGTAGGGGAAAGAACAGCACATTTCAAGCTGGAAGAACTTCACACTTGCTCCACCTGATCTCTTAAACCTCTGTGTTTCAATTTGCAAAACAGGACATAATAACCAATACCTTCTCATAGGATTGTTGTAATGCTTAAAGTAGTGGACTGTGAAAAGGTCTGCAAATAGTAATGAACACACACGCGCGCACACACACGTGTGTGTCTGTAAATACATACATATATATTATTATATTATTTTTTTTTGGCCTTTTGTAATTTTCACTATTCCTCTCTGGAAGGCCTTTTCTTTTCTTTGCTCGCAAATCATTTGCTTCCTTCCCCTTCAATAAAATTCAACCATCTTCTCTGAAGGATTCCTGAACTAAACTTAAACTCTGAATCACTTCAGCATTAATTTCCTTGACATATGCACACACTGTTTGGTCCTGCTGTTACTAAACATAGTGCTCCAGGGAAAGACAACTAATGTCTCCACTTTGCATGGCAAGTTAATGCTCCTTGATTTGTCACTTTGAATTTATCTGAATAGGCGCTGAAATATCTCTGGCTTAATGATCCATAGATTTTCAATGTCAATTATTTGTTAAAAAGAAATGAAACAATGACTATTCTGACAGAGCTCCTTATATGGGTATGGTAGGAAGAGAAGGAAGCTTGGCTAGTTAAGAAAGCTTTATTTTCAGTGGCTCACGCCTGTAATTCTAGCACTCTGGGAGGCCGAGGCGGGTGGATCATTTGAGCTCAGGAGTTTGAGACCAGCTTGAGCAAGATTGAGACCCCATCTCTACTAAAAACAATAGAAAGAAATTAGCTGGAAAATTAAAAATATATAGAAAGAAAATTAGCCGGGCATGGTGGCACATGCCTGTAGTCCCAGCTACTCAGGAGGTTAAGGCAGAAGGATTGCCTGAGCCCAGGAGTTTGAGGTTGCTGTAAGCTAGGCTGACGCCATGGCACTCTAGCCCAGGCAACAGAGTGAGACTCTGTCTCAAAAAAAAAAAAAAAAAAGCTTTACTTTCAAGATGGAGCTACAAAGAGCAAACTAGACCTTGCTCATAGTTTGTTCAGGCTGAATATATATTCTAAGACAATAACAAAGTCTCAGTAAAAAAATTTTTATTGAGTAAAAACTGAACAGATAACATTCATTCATTCTTCTAACAGCCCTGAGTCAAAGAGAAAATAAAAGCTGAATTAGAGATTAAGAATTAACCAAAGGGAAAACATTACATATCAAAATGTATGAGATATTGTAAAATATATTCCAATAACATCATAGTCTTGAATGACTTTGTTAGAAAACTTTATTCAGAATAAGCAAACTGATTATTAAATTCAAAAAGCTAGAAAAAGTAAACCAAATTAAAAAATAATAGAATGAATCAATAAAAATATAATAGACTAGAAAAGATATAAATTGGAGTAGATAAAAATAAACATATGTAATCTTTGAAAATACATATAGAGTCAACAAACTTTTAGCAGGTAACTTTAGAAAGAGAGAGAAAAGGAAGGAAAGAAGGTATGTATACACTTAAACAATATTAGGAATAAGAAAGACTATAGAAAAGGAAGAGATTAAATAATGTAAAAAATCATATGAGTATTACTTTAAAAATCTAGATAACCTGAATAATTTTCTAGAAAAATATGAATTACAAAAGTTGGTTCAATAAGAGGTAAAAGATCTGAATAGCCCTAAACAAGAGAAGAGAGTGCAATAATTGTTCAAGATGGCTTTATCAAGTCAATTCAGCTTTTCTTTTGTATTTAAACAGTATTACGGCATAGGAAAAAGACATTTTTTCTAATGCAAATTTGATCAACATTGCACCAAAACCATAGTATATGAATATAAATGTAAACTTTCTCAAATAATATAGTGGCAATTTTCATTTTATACTTCACTATATTAAATAAAATTTGTGTACATTAATACCATGCAAAGCAAGGACATGACTGAGATATGCACAAGTCCTCCAGTTCACATGGTACCTTGCAAAACAAGGAATGCCTGTATTATCAAGTAAAATTCAGGATGGCAGTATAGCAATACTGCATCAAAACAAGTGGGGATTATTGTAGAGTATAAAAATTATTTGATTTTAATAAATATTTTAATATAATTGACATTCATACATTAAGAAGAAAAATAATATGAACTTGATACTGAAAAAATACTTGAAAAAAATGTGATAGCCATTTCAAATTTTTAAAAATACAAGTTAAATTTAGATTAGAAGAAAAAAGATCCTCTTACTATGATAAAGAGTATTGTACAAGGCAAGAACTATAAAAATTATGCCCACAATGAAACATTTGAATCTTTCTTATAAAATCAGGAATGGGATAAGCATACCGAATATCATTGTTATTATATATAACACTATTCTGGAGAGCATAGCCAACCATATAAGACAAGAAAAATAAATTTCTTTCCTATATAACAGGAAAGAAAAAGACAAAATATAATTGTTTTCTGATAATCTGTTGGTCTAGGAAACTCCAAGAGATTCAGCTGAAAAGCTATCAGAGTTGGGTGGTTGTATACAAAATATAAGAACAGCTTTCTTTTATACCAGCAATAACCAGTTAAAATAATTTTCCAATAACCATTATACTCAAAGTCAGCTGACTTTGGATTTCTATGTTGTCAGTTGCAACTCTCCACTTGCAGGTATTAACCTCTCTTTATACTAGTTGGGACTCCTTTGGTTGCAAGAGATAGACTAAATTTGAACAAGCCTAGGCAGAGAGGGATGTCAGACTTAGTGGGCTCCAAGGCCATCAGGACTCTCTCTATTTCTCATCTCTGCTTCTCTGTGCAGACTGGCTTTTTTCATATAGCTGCAAACATATACCTAGTACTCCCCAGGGTTTACATCTTAAAGCTTCAGGTTTTTAGCAAGAGTCTAACTCTCATTTTCAGTAGAAAAACAATCTAAAAGAAAGATTCTGATTGCCCCACTCCTAATTCAAACAACTCACCAAAAAGTGGTCCATCCTGCTAATGTGATGGCTTCTATAATAACCATGTGGATTGTGGGAGAGGAATGAATCCTAAAGAAGGGGTGCTGAGGAGAAAATCTTATTTTTTACCTTAGTACTTTAAACGAAAAACCAAAAACCAAACTTCTGATAGCTTCCTGTTGCCCTCGGGATACATTCTAAACTGTTTATGTTGTATATAAGTCTTCCCAATCTGCTTCCATCCTGTGGTAGACTGTTTGCAAAGATAGCTACAACAATTCCCCTCCCTGTGCACCTGCTGCTTGGCAATGTGACTTTGCTGCTTCTCCCATCAAGAATTGGAATCTGTTTTTCTACCCCTTGAAAGTGGCCTGGCCACATGACTTATTTTGACCAACAGAATATGGCAGAAGTGACAGTATGTGAATTCCAAGCTTAGGCCTCAAGGGGTTCTGCTTTTGTAATATAGGTTCTTCCTGGTCTTAGTGCATGGTGTTGTCATATGAGAAAGCCCAGTTAGACCATGGAAATATAGGGACAAGTTGTCTCCTATCTAACATCCAGATGACTGTACCCATATGAGTACTTCAAGGGAGGAAATACTCAGTTGAGCTCAGCCCAAAATGCTAACACAGCAAACCACGAGCAACAAATAAAATGAATGTTGCTTTAAGTTACTAAGTTTTTGGGTGATTACACAGCAATAGATAACTGGTACACACCCTATTTCTCTAGCCTGCTCTTTTGCTCTCTTTATTTTCTAGCCTCATTTGACTTTTTGCCATTCCCAGAAACCAAAAGGCCCTTTCATGCTTCTAAGTCTTTGCACATACTACTTCTTCTGCCTAGAATGCTTTAGTTCTAACCTCTATTTGGAAAATTTCGATTCATTCTTCCAAAATTAGCTCAAATTCTGCTTTCTATATAAAAGATTCTGCACCTTCCCTAGGCAAAGTTACTTTCTCACCTGGGAATCCCACGGCACTTAGTTTAAGTTTTTATTATGGTCCTTTCCATATTGTGCGGTCTGTTATCTATTTCTTTGTCTCTCTCTCAAAATAGACTGAAAGCTCCTTAAAGGTGAGAACTATATCCCATTCATGACTAGGTCTTCAACACACACCAGAAGACCAGAAATATATAACTGGCACCCAGTGAATTGATAATGATGGGTTAAATCAACAAATTAACCTTGGTGTCAGGAGAACCAAGCCAACTTAGGATACAGAACATTTTTCTTAATTTCCACAGAATACCACAGGTTTCAAAGTAAAATCACCACAAAAGCAATTCCTAGAGAAATATTAAGTCACAAAATTTATATTGTTTGCACACAAGAAACAGTTCATTCTGGCCTGTGTTGGCTGCCTTTTTTGTTTTCTCAGACCCAGTTTTGGTTGCTGATTATTCCTCCAATTTACAAAGGTATTTAGTTGGTTAATAAGATGTTGCAAGAAACCATTTTCCTTCATTTAAATGGTCTGAATTGATTTACTGCAACAAGATTCACCATGGATTAGAAACTTGGCTTCCGTGATGTAAAAATGACCAAAGAGAAGTAAGGGATTGGACTGATGACCCCAGGTAGGAAAGAATAAAATAAGAAAAAAACTGACTTGCCTGGCAAACTCCAAAGTTCTAGAAGTACATATCAATCCTTGACACTTGGAAGAGACAGGTGATAAGACAAGTAAAACCAAAAGTTGCTTTTTGGGAAATGCTTCAAACTCTTCTTTATAATAATCTTGTCTCTATTTTTTTCCAATATTGTTTTGTAGTTTGCAATGTATAATCTGGAACTTTTTTGTTAAATTTAATTCTAAATATTTTATTCTTTTTGATGCTATTGCAAATAGAATTATTTTCTTAATTTTATTTTTGGGTTGATGATTGCTACTTTAAAAGCACAACTAATTTTTGCATATTGATCTTATATCCTGCAACCTTGCTGAACTTATTTATTATTTCCGATCATTTTCTAGTAGTTTCTTTAGGATTTTCTATATATACGATCATGCCTTTTGCAAAAAGAGACAATTTACTTCTTTTCCATTCTGGAAGCCTATTTCATTTTATTGCCTAATTGCCCTGGCTTGAACAATGTTCAATAGAAATGGCAAGAGCATGTCTTATTCCTGATCTAAGGGGGAAAGCATTCAGTCTTTTACCACTATGTGTGATGTTAGATGTAGGTTTTTCTTATTAGGTTTCTTATTAGGTTAGATGTAGATATCTCTTATTAGGTTGAGGAAGATCCTTTCTATTTCTGGTTTGTTGAGTTTTTGTTTATCATGAAGGGATGTTGAATTTTCTCAAATACTTTTTCTGCACCTATTGAGATGATTATGAGGCTTTATCCTTTTGTCCTTTATCCTATTAATACGGTATATTATATTAATTCATTTTTAGGTGTTAAACTAACTTTACATTTCTAGGATGAAGCCCACTTGATCATAGTGTATAATCCTTTTTATATGTACTGAATTCAATTTGCTAGTGTTTTAATGAGGATTTCTGTGTGTATATTCATAATAGGTATTGGTCTGTGGTTTACTTGTAATGTCGTTGGTTTTGGTATCAGGGTAATACTGGCCTCATCGAATGAATTGGGAAGAGTTCCTTCCTCTATTTTTTTTTAAGACTTTGTGAAGGACTGGTATTCACCAGTAAAGCCATCTGGGCCTGAGCTCGTCTTTGTGGGTAGTTTTTGTTATTGCTGTTATGAATTCATTCTCTTTATGTGTTACAAGTCTATCATATTTTCTATTTCTTCTTGAGTCAGTTTTGGTAGTTTGTATCTTTCTATGAATTTGTTCATCTAAATTACCTAATTTGTTGGCATATGATTGTTCACAGAATTCCCTTATAATCCTTTTTATTTCTGTAAAGTTGGTAGCAATATCCCTTCTTTCATACCTGGTTTTAGTAAGTTGAATCTTCTCTATTCTCTAAATGTTAATCTCTCTTATTAACTGCCATAACTTTGTTATCTGTGCTATATTTCAGATTGTTTCTTCAGATCTTTCTTATAATTTACTAATTATTTTTTCATTTGAGTCTAAACCTGCTTTTTAACCCAATATATTTATTTCAACAGTATATTTTTTATTTCCTGAAGTTCTTTTTGTTTTATAGTTATTGATTTAGACCTTTCTTCTTTTATAATATAAACATTTAAAAAAATAAAATAACTAAAAAAAATAAACATTTAAAGCTAATTTTTCTCTAAATATTACTTTAAATTAATCCCACAAAATCTGATTAAATTGTGATTTAATTTTCATTCAGTTCAATATATTTTATAACTTTCTTTGTAATTTCTCTTTAGTCCATGGGTTATTTAGAAACTTCCAAGTATTAGGAACTTTCTAGTTAGCAATCTGTTATTAATATACATTTTAATTCTGTTGCAGACAGAGAATATACTCTGTTTGATTTCAATCCTCTTAAATAATTGAGACTTGTTTTATGACCCAGCATTATAATCTACTTTTGTGAATATTTCATGTGAATTTAGAAAGAATGTGTATTCTGCAGTTGTTGGTTAGAGTGTTGTACACATACCAGTTAGGTTAAGTCAGGTTGATGGTGTTAAGTCCTTATCCCTGCTGATTTTCTGCCTACTTTACCAAGGGAGAAGTGTTGATATTACCAATTGTGGACTTGCTATTTTTCCTTTAATTTTTTTCATTTATTACTTCCCAAACTCTGATCTCTATCTCCCCATAACTCAGAGAGTTGCCAGACTCTGTTCAGATTCCCTTCCCTCATTGCAGTTTAGAAATTGCCTCTAGGGAGAAAGCCTGAGAGATGACAGCACTCTTCTCACTTGCTTCCTCTGTCTTAGGGATCATGTCTTGTGCTCCCTATTCTGTCCAAAAGAGTTATTTAATACATTGTATCTAGCTGTTTAATATATTGTTTCTAGCTGTTAAATCAAGAGGGTAATTTTGGATCCTTTTATTCTCTCATAGCCAGAAGTGAAAATTTCAATTTATTTTCAAACCTGCTAGATCATTTTGGTTAGTATATTGTTTATTTTTATGATTCTATTACTATAAAAATTTCATACATAGTCTATAATCTACTATCTAAAGTCCTTGGTATTGACACATAGAGAAAAAAAGAAAAAAAAAGAAAAAAAAGAGTAAATGAAGTCCTTGGTGTCTAAATCTGTTGTTTGTTGTTTTTATTAATTCTTATTCATGGTAGTTTATTTCCTTGAGTGGCTGGTGATTTTTTTTTTTTAATGAGCACATATTTAGTTGATATTAATTTGCAAAGAACCTGAACACCTACATTTTGGATGTTTCCCTTAAAAATTATTAGCATATGACTGTGGTAGGAGTCAAGACATGCTACTGACCTAGATCCTGAGGATTCTTTCAGGGTCTTCTCCTTAATCAAGGATTCTTCAGTTCATCTACCTGTGTCTTCCCTTCCTTAATAATGTTATCGACATATGCCTTCAGGGAGTACTCTGCCTTTCATGTGTGCTCACTTCTCACCGTTCCAGTTTTACCTCTCCTTTGTCTGGGGGAGGGGAGAGCTATGGATGTTTACCTTTCTTTCTGCAAGTACAGCAGGAAGGCCCCTCACACTGTCTGATGCACTGTGCTGCCAGATGTGGAAGCCTGGATTTCTTATTTTATCTCTTGTTGATTTCCTAAACATGTCACCCAAACTCTGAGATCTCACTTGCCTCTGGGCTTCAACTATGACCTCTATTTTCAAGACCTTTCAATATATACTTCCAGCTGTAATATTTCCACCTTATTTTAAATCTCACATTCCCAACTGCTTATTGGACATGTCCATCTGATTTAGACTGAATGTAGCCAAGTCAAACTACAGTATCTTTCTGTATTTTGGACATCTGCCTCCACACGTCCAAGATTATTTTTCTTCCATTCACAAACTTCAAACATTTCAAACTTTGGAAGGGATCTTAAAAGCTTCTTTTCAAAATGGAGGAACTGAGGACCAAGGATGTTAAATAACTTTTTGCTTATCACTTCCAACTAATTTCTCCAGAGTACCTCTTTCTTTATGTTCCTTTCTGCTCAAAAAACTTCAATGGTTGCCCTTTTGTCTAACCCTTAAGATGCTTACAGATCTTATGGTCAGAGTGTTCTCCCTATTGCAATAATCCCTTTTCCCCCACTGCAATAATCCTTTCAAATAAAGTCTTGCCCTAGCAAAAACAAAAATAAACCTCAATGACTTCTCAATGTTCACAAGATTTTATCTTTGTACTTATAAAAATCTGATTTTATAGTCTGCTATATTGATATGTGATGCCTCTGCCATAGGCAAGATTTGCCCCAAATTTTACTCTTCCTCACATCACTCAGCCTAGAAAACTCCTGCCCTCACCTAATTCTACTAAAATCCTACCTCTCCCTCAAAATATGGCTGAAATATCAATTCTCTCTCTAGTTTTAACAAATTGAAATCAATTTATCTAACTGAATTTTTCAGGCATTTTCTATTTTATAAGTTCATAAAACATGTATTACATTCTGCTTTGTACTGTGAATATGTTTTTTCTATTTTACGTTCTTTAAAAAGTTCCCCAGGCAGACAGCAACTACTCTGTGTTCCCTACAATGCTTATCACAGTGCCCAGGACGTCAAAGCTCAATGAAGTTGGCTGAAAAAAGAAGTAAACTCAAGAGTCCCTTACCTTGGTGATGTCCGTGTGATCTTTGAGCCCGTTGGTCATGCACCAATATCGCCACACATTCAGGGCGTACCGCGTGGCTTTGGTAGTATTTGGGCTTACTGCACTGGTACACAGATCATTCAAGTCATCATTAATATTAAATACAGGAAATTTGTTGAGCTTAGTAGAATAAGCTAGAAACAAAAACAACAAAAGCATTAACATAATTTGCCATTCTCTTCTTTAGAGAATTACATCTTGGGATCATGTTAAAAAAAACAGAAAACTCCCTAAAAGATAACACTTCAAAAAATAAAAAAATTTTCAAGTATACATATATTAGAATAAATAAAATAGGGAACAATATTTATAGCATGGAATCAAGGCAGTAACCTTGCATTTAATCCCAACTATTTTGCCATATATACTAACTTACGTACTAATGTAGTAATAGAAGGGGAAAAAAATGAATGAGAAAAAACAAAGAATGTTCTATCTAAAATTTTCACTGGAAAAGATTAGCATTTCCATAATAACAGCAATCAAAAGATAGAAGGAAAGAAGGCAGGAAGGAAGGAAATAAAGAGAAAAATTATACATCCTTAGCATATGAAGCACTATTATTTCTTTATAATATATAGTCTCAAATGTCTTGTGTGCCATTACTGGATGCCTTGAATGAATGGCATTAGCATATTTCTTTAATCCTTCTCACAAGTTGATAAAGAGATATTTAAAGCTGATTCCACAACCCATCAACTACCTTCAAATTAGATATGGAAGGCCAAGTGAAAGAAATATTAGGGAAAGAGGGAGGAATACTCCAGAGGGCCTCACATATTCTCATTTTTATGAGGAACATATTTTAAATTGTCAGAACTATTTCAGATAAAGACTGGTCTTTCTCAATATGTCCACTTTAAGTTGTTGGTTAGCAAAGAGATAACCTAGACCGTAACGATTAGCTGGCCTTTCTTTATACTCTGTGATTTGTTAAAACCAGGCTTAACCTGTTCAAATTATTATCTTTGGAGAGAAAAAAAAAAAGTCAAGGCAGACCATCTCAAAGTATAAACATTGCCAATCTAATAGCTCTGACCCTCTCTGGAAAGTTTCTGTATTCAAACAAGGCATAACTGGCTAGGTCTGTGAGAAATGGCAAAATGAAGTTAATGCAATTACCAAGGTGATCTGCAATTGGGGTTCACTCTACTTAACCCACCTCACCTTCACTGCTCCCACTGAGGGGCTCCTCTATCCTAAGCCACCAGTCTCCAGCTGCCCCCAGGACACACACACTGCACCTTCCCCACACATACCCTGAGTAATCTCCACGTGGTCTTAGTGCCAACCAAAATATAGTCTTTTTTCAATTTCAAACTAACTTCTACTTAACCTTTCCCACACTAACCCAACTTCCTCATTTCCTTCTTCAATATGTGCCTCACATATCCTTTATTATTTTTTAAGAGTGTGTTCTATTTGTGTCCAGATCTCTTTAATTGGTTTGCATGCTTCTTTTTTTTTTTTTTCTGTATTATGCACATGAATGCATGCTTCTTAACACTGTGTCTTTACCCCTTAAGTCTTGATCCTGCTCCAAACTGTTGAACACACAATCTGCTTTAATAAATGTAGCAGGAGAGGAACAAACAACTCCCTGAAGCAACTGTGACATGTATAATAGGTATATTCCTCTCACCACCCCTAGTAATTATTATACATTTAAAAAATTTAAAAAATAGAAATAAAAATAATACAACTTAGATTATTAACCTCTCATGCTTATGAAAACTATTCTGATCTCCCAAAATTTACTTGTATTAACCTTCAATAAGAATAACTAAGTCTGATTTATTTTGATAACCACTATAGTTTCAAACAGGATGATTAAATTTTTTTTGAGACAGCGTCTCACTCTGTTGTCCTGAGTAGAATGCAGTGGCATCATCATAGCTCACTGCAGCCTCAAACTTCTAGGCTCAACCAGTCCTCCTGCCTCAGCCTCCCAAGTAGCTGAAACTACAGGTGTGTACCACAACACTGGGCTAATTTTTTCTATTTTTGGTAGAGACAGGGTTTTGCTCTTGCTCAGACCGGTCTCGAACTCCTGACCTCAGGCAATCCTCCTACCTCGGCCTCCCAGAGTGCTAGGATTACAGATGTGAGCCACCACGACCAGCCAAGTTTAATTATTTACATTAAACAATTATATGCCCTTAAATAATTTTATTGTTTCTTCATTTTTATCACAGGACACAGACTATACATTGAAAATGGAAACCAAAATCCTAGTATATAGGGAAACAGGTATAGAATGCTTGTATGCTTACGTAACGGGAAAGCAATTGTGTGAAAATGATTAAATGACATCTATGGTTCCTTCATGATTACATTTAAGGATTAAATTATATTTGCTTAATAAACTACTTTAAGATTTTTGGGGTAGAAGCTATAGTGTTATGCTGCTGAGGAAATTTTTAGGAAACTATATCAACAGAGCAACAAACAAAAGTAAAAATTTGTAACTGGATACAGGAAAAAGAGGGGACTCCTAAACAACGATCTGAGTTATTTTTTCCACTAGAGAATGGGACAAACTCCGAGCTCAAGGTTAGGAAAAGCTGGGCATGGTAGTGTAGCTTAAGGACTTCCAGACAGCTATGAATGATTATCCTGCTCTCCATACAACCACCGCTTACATCATTTACCACCAGCATGGGTGCTGGCAAGCACAGCTGTGTAAGATGAGGGCAATTTGCTGCAGAGGGCTAACCTCAGGGCCAGAGGGTAAGAGAGAGGAAAGGGGGCATTGCCTCAGGTAACTCTGGGTAGTTTCATTAGACACAGAGAGTGGGAAAAAAGAAAAACAGCTAAGAAAAGCAAAGAAATCCTTGAATGAAAAACCATCTCTCATGTAAGTCACTCTTCTCCTGTGTCTACAATTGAGAGAGTTCCAGTTTCCTAGCTTGTTTCCAGCTTATACACCCTGAAAGGAAGCCTATTCATGAGCATTTCTTTGGCCACTCATTATAGCTGGCTTAAGTCCACTTGCACAGCCCTGTGTTCAAATATTACCTGCAGAAGTGAGCTCTGCCCAGATGTAAACAAACAGGAACCTTTAACGATATCTAAGGAAATCCCTATGAGCTACCAATAATGATCAATCTAGACTTGAATTTTAAAAATGTGAATACACAAACATCACTTGGCAATTGAGAAAACCAATAGCATGATAGTGACCAAAGCTACACAAACAGAGCAACTAATTCCACATTCCCTACTTTTTCCCCTGAAGATAGAGTTAACCAAAGAAAAAATTTTAAACATTACAAATATATCATTAGAGAGATTTGAGAGGATAATGCATGCTTAAAACAAGAACAGCTTTCCCTGGAAAAGAAGAAATAGGAAAACAAGAAACACCCAGGAAATTTAAAATGATTGAAAAAAATTTTTAAGGAAAAAAAGCATCTTTATTACAGAGAATAAAAGACCAGGCAGAGGCATTTCTTTGTATCATTTCATCATTTTTTTATGTGCAATTAGGAAGTACCTGGGCAGATGCACCTGTGAGAGCAGAACCTAGGAATTAGGGGAACCAAATTCAAGCTCAACTCTATAATCCCCCAGCAGGTTTCATCACCTGAAGACAAAGAGGTGGCATGTCCAGTGTCCTCTGAGAGACAGTAAGATTTCCTGAGGACTGGGTTTCTATGATCTTAGCACCCACAACAGAGCTTGACATAGGCAATCAATAACATCTGAATAAAAGATTGATGTTCCAGATCTATGAATCAGTCATTTATATATGATTCTAAGCTACTGCTCTTTTTCATTTTTGTTTTTTGAGGCAGTCTCCCTCTGTCTCCTTGGCTAGAGTTCTGCGGAGTCAGCCTAGCTCACACTCCTAGACTCAAGCAATCCTCCTGCCTCAGCTTTCCAAGTAGCTGAGACTACAGGCACTTGTCACCACACCTGGCTAATTTTTCGTTTCTGTTTTTAGTTGCCCAGCTAATTTTTTCTATTTTTAGTAGAGATGGGGGGGGGGGGTCTTGCTCTTGCTCAGGCTGGTCTCGAACTCCTGACCTCAAGCGATCCTCCTGCCTTGGCTTCCCAGAGTGCTAGGATTATAGGCGTGAGCCACTGCACCTGGTCTACTGATCTTAATTGATTGTCTCTGGGTCTCTAGTTTATTGCATCCAGACTTCTCCCTGGTATAAAAACCAATCTGACTATCTATATAATACTGCTACATAAGCCTAGAGTTGACATATTTTCCATTTTTCCAGGAGTGTTCCAATCTGTCGTATGCATATAACTGTATTAGTGCCCCTTTTACTTTCTAAAGTATCCAGTTTTGAACAATAAATGATATGATTCCCCCTAGGTCCCCACCATTACAGCAGAGCTTCATATTCTCACTGGAAACATAAATGGACAGAGGAGATGTAAGAAAGAATATTCCCTTGAACTACTAAATTTTGAAATGAATTAGTTGTAAGGATGGGACAGCTTCTTCTTTGGAGATTGTCAGAAATTAAATTAATCTGTACATCATCAATATTGTTTAAAAATTGTTTTCGTAGAATGGTAAGTAGGAATGGAATAGGAGATTCCTCAAGGTAAGTTGAAAAAATATATTTTAAAAACACTTAATAGAAGAGCTGAGTATTAGAATGAAAGTGGCTAAAAGGCAAATTAGCAATCTAGAAGAAATCTTTCTAACAGGCCAAAGTAATAAAAATATAAAAATTATGAGGGTGAAGTTGAGATACATGGAAGGCAGATCCAGGAGATTAAATATCCATCTTAAGAATTCAAAGGACAGGGTGAAAGAAGTAATATGTGAAAAGTTCCATTAATCAAAGTAAAATTTGAATCTTCAGGGTATTAAGGTTCATGAATTGTGAAACAGAAATAGTGAAAGAAAACATACATACAAACATATCTTGGTGAAATTTCCAAAGTCTAAGAACAAAGAGAAAATTCTACAATCTTTCTGGTAGGCAGACAAAGCCATCAACAGGCAAGAATTCGATTTCTCATTAGTGGCACCAAATGGCAAAAACAAACAAATAAAAACAATGACTCTGTCTCCCCAGAATTGTGAAGGAAAAGGACTATAAATGGGAAAATGTATTACTTAGCAAAAATATCATTCAAGTGCTAGGGAAAAATAAAGACATTTACT